AGAAACATTGTTTATAATTATTGTTGAAGGCACCAGATGATATAGCCGCAGCCATAATCGATTGCTTGATATCATGGTTACCGATATTTTGTACGCTGAATGATGCAGCGAATATAGGCGTATTACAGACGTTGATATCGTCTTACATACAACATGTAAGTTTTGTTGTTGATTGTCTTTGTTGATTGGTGTGATCCGAGCTATGGAATGAGTTGTTCGATAGAAAAGTAATGATGTGGAAAGGTTTGGAATATTGCTTGATAACAATTTGTTTGAAGGAGTCACCGAAATGTCGATTGGTTGCGCTGAAATATGTCGAGGCGTTAGTTAAATCGCCGGCTGTTGAATTTCGTTGGATGTTGTGTCAGGCGTGTGGAGATGCGTTGGTTTTTTAGATATTGCTTTTGTCGTTTCTATTAGTGCAATCGTTGTGAGAGAGCGGTGAAATTCGATTGGAACATTTAAATGCTTCTTTGATGAAATTCATTAGAAAACGTTGCGGTGTTGTGTAAGGAAGTGACGTCGTAATTGTCGAAATTTTTAGACATTTTTAGCCGTCACTTTGTTCTAAATATAAATATTCAACTGTATGCTTAAGATTAGGTTTTTTGCAATGACGATATGAAATTGTTATGTGAATAAACTTGAAATATTTACAGACGAGATGAAATGCGTCGTGAAGCGCGTCGGCTTTTGGAACTTTCCATATCTGATCGAAAATTTATGCCTGATTTCGAGGTTCCGATTGATTCATTCTCTTGTTTTTAAACAATTTTCTCACATCGCATGCTTGCTTTCAGTTTTAAAATCCGAGCAGATGCTTCTCTAAATTGAACATTCATTCTATCTTCCAATTGAAGGATATGGCCGAGTATCTACATAAGAAATTGAAATTGGATATGGAAACAACGACTGAATTAGCGGAACGTGATGCATCTGAGATGGCGAAAAAGAAAAAAGAATTGTTCCATGATGATGTTTATATTATTGTGAGTTGTTGTTGTAGA